AGATAGAGATGTTATCTGGTTAATGGTGTCATTTGGCCTTTGAGGTTAGAGTTCTTTGGGAAAGTGAATGGCTCCTTCACAAGAGGCAAGACTCAAGGTCAGATCAAATATCCAGTGCTAGATAGTAGCCGCTTGCCAGGTTCCCCAGCAGAGAAGTGTCCCTCCCAGTATCTGCTTACCTGGAATCCTTAGACTGGAGATGCAGTGTATATACTTTATCACTGAACTACAGCCCTTCCTAAATGACTTTCACCCATGATGACATGGTCACTTGGTCTATCCTGTGGGATTCAAAGAACGTGATAAGGTAACATTCCTTACAGAGTCTGTTTTAGGCTTTGTGGGAAGGAGGATGTGCAATGGTTTTATAATGTGTATGTATTTTACTCTGAATTGTATATTGTTTTATTGGTTTCATGTAAGCCTCCCTGAGCCTGCTTTGGCGGGGAGGGCGGGGTAAAAGTTAAATAAATAAATAAATAAATAAATAAATGAGAGGTGTGTCTTCCACCAACTGCATGGATAATTTACTGGATAATGCAACCCCATTCATCTCCAGCTACTTGGTAGTGACGATGGAAACTTGTAGAGTGGTGTGTGAAATTATTTTTGGACAGCTTCCCCCAGTGAATCCTTGTTACCTACAGAATATCTTTGAGCGATTTTCCTTTCCTCTCATCTATTGCCTTAGTGATGTATTCTCTTTGAAGTTGCCCTTTCCTGCCCCTCTTCTGCACTTACCTGAATGGCAGTTCCCACTCCCAGTGTTGCTCTTGTCTTCTTAAGTATTTCAGGTAGCAGCAGCATTTATGTCCCAGGCTGGGCTCTCCCATGAGTAATATTTCAGAGAGAATAATAAACACGTGTCTACTGTAAAACAAGTGCCTCAGTTTGTAAGATACTGACTTGCATAGAACTACATTTGAATATCAAGCTTTGGTGTATAATTCCTACTTAATCCTTTTTGGTTTGTTTCTGTGTCTCTTGTCATTAGGTTCATGATTACCTCCGCAGCAAACTGTGTTCCCTCTATGAGAATGATTGCATTTTTGATAAATTTGAATGTGTGTGGAACGGGTCTGACAGGTGAGGATCATCATTTTATTTTCCTCTTTTAATTCCCCAACTTTCTCTTTTTCCCTGTAGTTATTATTTCTCTTGCTTCATTGTGAGGGGTTTGTCACTGAACGATAAACTTAGTATCAGATCAAATTTAGAATTATATATCAGAAAAATACCAGTTATTAATCTTAGTGCTATTCCAGATGCCAGCAACTCCTCGGGATCAGGGCCCCAATACAGGAAGTGCAACAAGAAGAACCTGGAAGAGAAAATATTTCCTAATGCAAGGATTGGGCTATGGAGGTTGGTTAGGCACTACTGTTACTAACAGTGCAGTCCTAAGCAGAGTTACAGCCTTCCAAGCTTTGAAGCATGTCACTCTGCTTAAGTGTAAGCCACTTATATTGATCCTCCCAGTCTATTCAGAATAGCAGCACTCGGTCTGCAGATTGTTCCCAAAAGTGATTTAAAAAGAATGGAAAGGCAGTGCATATTTGGCTACACTATCTGTGATTGGGAAACTGTGCTAGATTACTCACACGATGCATTTCTAGTCTCTGCTCTGACAAGTTAATGGATACCTTTTCGTGAACACCAAGCTCACGTTGTTTAAAATACTGTGAATTTGAAAATTAAAATTTGAGATTTCTGATTTAGTAATTTAGATGACCTTCAAATCTGTCTCATTATCTAGAATGTATAATTTAGATGTGTCCTTTAAATCTTCATTTGAGCCAATCACAATTTATGCAGTCAGTTTATCTGCCCCTCTTAACCAGAAGGTTTCCAAGATAACAAGAGATAACAAATTAAAACCCATGATAACTAAAGTTAAAAACATCAGAATGAAAGTTAACCATGGAATAATTTAATGCATGAGGTAAAATAGAAGTCAACCAAAATCCTGGGAGAATAGGAATGCTTTTATTTGGCACAAAATGAATGAATGTGGGGAGAAACTACTAAGACGACCAGGTCTTTCACATGTCTTGTATATTTGACTTAGGCTAGGAAGCATTGTGTTGGATTCTCTGGTCATGAAGAAATGCCCTAATCATATGAAGGACGATGTGCAAACAGGTCTTCCCCCATTGCCTGTTCAGAGCACTGGGGGTAGGGTTAATCCCCCACCCCCACATCAGACAGTCACTTGGGTTTGGTGTTTACCTTAATCCAGGTATCTTTCAATACAGCATGTTGGGAGCAATGTTCCCACTAAGCTGTGGAGTCTTGTGAGCAAAAATTCTACTTTGTGAGCTACTGGCATTAAAGCTGTGAGCGAGCGATTTGTGTACTGCATAAATCAGTTTGCTCTGGAGCCCTCCTTCCTGAGCTAAGACAAAAATGTGTGAGCTGGCTCACACTAACTCAGCTTAGAGGGAACACTGGTTGGGAGTTGTGTTAACTGAATCTTTCTGCCAGTGTCCATGCACCATCCACTTGTTCAAAAATGTAGTTAGCACTGTATTCATGATGGTTACCTAGTTGATTGCATTGGGCTGAAAGCGTAGGAGGCAGGCAGTATGGGAATACAAGGAATGACTAAAGCTACCTTGATAGCTCGTTGCTGTGCTCTTGTTTCACTGGCCAGAAGGTGTGTGACACAATTGCATCTACTTCTTTTTCTTACTCCCTGTAGCCTGTAAAGTGAAGTTCCAAGCTACAAGGTGTTCCTTTTATGCTGGGTGAAAATTTTCTGTCTGAAGCTAGAGTCTCATTTGGGGTCAGACTACATGTGACACTGGAATCCTGGAACTCCCATCACTGGAATTCTGTGCTTTTTGGGAGAATCCAGAAGAAAAAAAGCTGAGTTGTTATGGATCAGAAATACATTGCTGAAAGAGAAAGGGTTAACTCTTGGCCCATGCATTGTTTCCCCACTGAAATATGTCCTCATGCTGCTTTTAGACTCAGATTTGGGGGGGGGGGGGGGGAGACAGGGGTTAAAAGTCTGGGCAGGCAATTTTCAAATGGGGAAATGGTGCAGAAACCAAGAGTTAAACATCACCTTCCCCAGCATTGAGGCTGGTTTCTCGGGCTAAAAAAATCAGAATTTCCATTCACAGAATTCTAATATTATATGTAACTTTATTCAGCAAACATGGAAAATAGTGAACTCCACCCTTTCCCCTCCAGTATTCCCCAACCCATACAGCAAGGTGCCTCCTCACACCTCTTGCTCTCGGAAGAGAGGCCTATTGGGGTGTGTAGAGGCTGATATTATGCTGCAAAAAGTTGTGGCAGCTGGTGAATGGGAGAGCGGTATAAGAAGAAGGGTGGCTAAACAAGGCTGGGGAAGAAAGGGTAAGATACAAGGAAGCTAGAAAGGCTGTTAATCTCTTCTGACATGCCGTATGGTCCCGTTCTCCTCCATTCTCTCTATTTGCTTCTCAGTGTCATCATGACTGGCTCCTACAACAATTTCTTTAGAATGTTTGACCGCAACACCAAGCGTGATGTGACCCTGGAGGCCTCAAGGGAAAACAGCAAACCCCGCGCCATCCTGAAGCCCCGCAAAGTCTGTGTCGGGGGCAAAAGGAGAAAAGACGAAATTAGCGTGGACAGTCTGGACTTTAGCAAAAAGATCCTGCATACAGCTTGGCATCCTTCAGAAAATATCATAGCAGTGGCAGCGACAAATAACCTGTATATATTTCAGGACAAGGTTAATTAGGAGGGGGGGAAAGATAATTCCTTAGGAATCTTATGTACTGAGTACTAGCAAACATAAGGTTTTAAATGTTTCTTCTGTTTTCTTCTTCTCCTTGTTTGTTTCATTATTCCTCTGCAGATGTTAATTATGTAGAGGTAAGCACTCAGATTCCAGACTCATTGCTTTCCCCCCAAACATTAAGAAATTAGGCTGACAAAACCTATTAGGAACATTTTACTTCTAATTATTAAGACTCTCCGAGTTACACTATTAATTCAGTACCAAGCTTGAATTAACTTATACTTTCCCCCCCTTTTTCTCAGTCCTCACAAGAGGTTTTAGTTTCTTTTTAACATGATGTTCTGGACATCTGCCAATGAAAATCAAGATTGCGTAAATATATTTACAAAAAAAAGCAAGTAAGGCCATAAAGCAAGGATTTAATACATTAAGGTTAAGCTATCCTGTTATGATTTTGGAGATCCTTGTTTTCTTTTATATGCTCTCTTCCATACAGGAATTCAGGTTCTGTGGCCAGTTCATTCCTTGCAATTCTCCATTTTCCAATTTCAACTGGCATATTCCTTTTATCAACTCAGGGCCTTTCCAGTTTAACATTTGTTGTGCATGTTAATGGCACAATAAATGTGTTGGTGTAACTCAGTTGTTGTGAGAAATGCAAATCTTTTTTTTTGTCCTAGCTAGTTTGTTTATTGCAAACACACAGTATTTTGTTCTGTGAAAATGGTATTCTCCCCTCACCCTTCCTAAGCTAGAGGATCCATTGCATTTTGAAGTGCCATATTATATTATGATTATGGACTCTACTGGTTAGTATTCATGATGCCACTGGTGAAAGGGCACACTCTTCCACTATCAACTTCCTTTTTGGAGGGTGCAATTTAACTATACTTTACGCTCCACTGATTCCAATGGCATAAATTTAAGCACTTGTTTAACTTTAATTGAAATAAAATCTAGAATATATTTGGCTGTATCATGCTCAGAACCACCTCTTCTGTGTTGGACTCTAGATATTGTAGTTGTGCAGCCTTTGAAAAGCCCTACCAAACATCAAGAGGTCCCTCTCTTCCCACCCAGCAATGTCACAAATCAACCTGTGATTCTCATGTTCTTCCCCCCCCTTTAAAAGTAGTTCTTGAATAGATCCTTTTCTGCTCCCTTGCTAAAGCATAAATCTACGCTGCTCAATTTTAAAAAGAAAAACACTACATAAAATACCTTTCTCCCACAGCTTTGTCCCCAACAACAAGGCCACCTTACTTCATTACATGTGGATGAAATAGTGAGCTCTTGATGGCAGGTTCTACTTTAGCATGAGGCAGTGGGGAGAGAATCCCATTTTTGGAATCCATTTTGTGTGTCTGGAAAGGTCCTTGTACAGAAAAAACAAAAACAAAGCTAAGACAGAAGGAAAAGGTACACTAGGAACATTTAGACCCATTATTCGCTGTTTTAAAGGTTGTTCCCTTCCTTCATTATATCCCACAAACAGCTTCTTACGGATTTGGCTGTGTTGACCCTGTGGTGCCTTCTTCTGGTATATGAAATACGTTAGAGAACCAATGCTTCCAAATATGCAGTTCTTGCAAAACAAAATGAATCTGAGCTTTCTTCTGCAATTCCTGTGTTGTCATTTTTTGTTTTAGTTTCTCCCCCCCCTTCAGTTAAGAGAACTTGATCGTTCTCTCTTAATTTCTTGCATGTCATCGATATGTTTGTGACTTTTTCTTCCTCTCCTTTTTAGTTGTGTGTTTCCAAAAAAATTATTTATTTATTTATTTATTTTGGACTACATTTTTCTCCCCTTCTCTTTTGGAAGAGGAACTCTTAAGTAATTTTATGGCATTTGAAACAGACAAAACAAACAAACACCAAACCAATATGTATTACTATTATCGCCTGGCTGCTTTCTAAGAGAGGTTGTCCATGGTTCTGCAGTATGAAGATTAGCGACACTAGCTCTTCATCTTTGCATGGTAAACTGCCCTGTTCTACTACAAGGATAATCCAGGTCCCTTCTTTATTTGAACAATTGGTCATTTTGGTGAAAATGTTTTTGGGTTTTTTTTTTAAAAGGAATTGCAATCAGAGAAAAGAACCTACAAGAAATAAAAATCAATACATCCTTTGAAAAGGTGGATATTTGAAGATCAATGTGCTGTGCTGTTTTTCTGATTGTGAAATGTGGGGCTGTAGCTCCACCCTTTGTTATGTTGCCATGAAGCATACAAGAATTTCCAAGTACACTCTCGAGTAAAGGAGGATTGGAAGCCCACCTTTTTCTGTACCAGCCTATTGGCTCTTGCATCTCACCATTGAGACTGTGGCTGCAGCTTTCTCAAGAAATGTCTCAAGGCCACACAGAACCTGGGGGACATGGATTTCATCGTGGGTGGGGAGGGGGCAAAAGAAAATCTTCAAATATTTGGAATGAAGCTTTTATTTGCTATTAAACTACTTTATACCTGTCTGCTCCTTGTGGGACAGCTGAGGACAGGGACAAATTAGTTTTGCCTTGTTTAAAGGAATGATTACAGGAAAAAAAGTATGCTGGCTTATAAATTTATTACAAGCAATGGCTTTCAGGAGTAACCTCTTTTTTAAAAAAAAATGAAATGATAAAAAATAGCAGGAGTAAATGAGTCATTTTTCTAAATTAAAAAGTCCTTTTTTCTGCCTGTAAAGAAAGCCTGCACTCTGGTATCAGAAGTAAAATTGTCTCCAAGATGCTTTGGTGTGGAGTTGCTAATTTCCAGATGCTGAGAAATCTAATTTAAGATCACCCACTGGGAGACTTAAAGGGCTTGTTCTTACTGAGAACATCACCTAGATTCAATGACCTCCTACTTCACTTGAGCCTCACATATGTTCCTAAGAGCAGAGGGAAAAGGTGATAGGTTTTAAGGGAGAGATTATCTTGCTGGGTCAAACCAAGGTTTATCTAGGCTGGCATTCAGCTGCCAACCAGATAGCATTGAGAAGCTCTCAGGACACTGAATGTCATGTCCCCAGTTGTTTGGCCCCAGCATCTAGTAATGGAAGTGCAAACTCTGTATAAGGAGGCTGTAGAATGAGATAAATGACTGTAGTAGTAATCCAGAGAGTCCATTTAGGTGCATGAGAAGGCTTTGAATGCATGCAACAGGGTTTCAGGTTCCCCTCTCCCAATATCCGCTTCCTCTTACTGCACAATAAGCCACTTTTGAAACTCTCAGAAAAATTTCAAAGGTGGTATGTCCAGCAGAGAGGAGGGCTGCTGCCAGAATAATAATAAACCCATTGCATGCACAAGACTTTACAGCACAGTGCTATGGATCGCACCCTGTATACTTGGTGGTACCAGTTTCTATGATGCATTCAACAGGGTGTCCGGTCATACCTGACTATCTCCCTTCATCCCTATCCTAAGGATTTCCCAGTGAGCATAGTATAAATATGTACTCAGGAACTATGTACTTAAGAAGACTCAAGAAGGATATAAGGTTATGGGATGGGAAAGGACTGAGCCTCATGTGAATGCAAACCCTGAGATTCCCAAGGACTATGAAGCTCCTTCACACTCTTAGCATTATCTCACAACAGTGTATCCAGACTTTGGTGCATACAGCCCAATGCCTTTCTTTGCACCAGCTTGTAGCAGAGATTAGTTGTTACATTATTAAAAAGGGCAGTAGTAATGGCATCCTCATGGGCAGCTTACAACCTCAGAGGGTTATTTATTGTTCCACAGGTAAAAGGTGTCTAAGTTCAGCACTAGTCCATCACTGTCCTCCATGGTGTTTACTGTCTTTTGTAGCTATCTCTGCTGATGTATCACCCCCACATTATGCTAAAAGTCTCCCTTTGGCCAAAAGTGAAGCTCCATAGCATTGGATTTAACAGCAGTGATGGTCAAGGTACTTAAAAAGGCTCAAGAAACTCAAGGGTTAGGGAAGCACTGTAGTCAAACAAAAAGTCCAAACCATGACTTGGAGGGAAAAGCCAAAAGGGCTCTCATTGCACAGCAGAAGAGAAGTCTGAAGGAGTAACTAGAAAGATAGTCCCTGGCAGGGGTCGTTTCGTAGAAAAAGAGCTAGGGGAACTCATTAGCATAACTCATTAGCATATGCCACACCCCCTGACATCACCAGAAGTGTGTCATAAGGCCACACACCCCGCCCCCAACGGTCCCGGCCGCCGCCGCCGGCCTTACAGCTCCACTGCCAAGCCCCATGAGGGGCCCGGCAGTGGACCTGCAAGGCCGGCGGGAGTGCAAGGAAGCCCCGCGAAGGCCCTCCCTGGCCCCAGGCAGCAGGGGTAGGGAGAGGCAGGGAGGAAGCAACTTACCCTCCCTCTTCTCCTGCCTCCTGGCTGAATGCGGGGCGGCCAGAAGCGGGGGGCGGGGCTTCGTCATGTGCCCCCCCTGTACCTCACCCGGGGGAACTGCGATCCCTCCCGAAATGACCTCTGGTCCCTGGACTCCATATATGGGAGAAGGCTAAGACAAGTACATAATACCAAAAACACATGTCTATGGCTCTTAAAGCTACTAATCCTATATTTGGAAAATAGCTTATTGCTGTATGCCAAATTATTTTAAGAATTACTTAGTCGTTTCAAATACCCATTTGATTTTACTCGTTGTTACTGATCAGGGCAGTTGATATGTTGTGTCAAGTGGAACACACAGCTGTCACGAATGGGTTTTCCAACTGTTGGGACCGATTTTACAATTATCATGGAGGAGGTCATTTACAGTTCTTTGTTCTTGCTGTAGGGCATTATGCCACCACAGCTTGTAGATTACTTGTTCAAAGAGGCTTGTAGGTAGGCGAATGATGTGCAGGAGTAAGGTACTTTCATTGTGTCTGTGGTCATGCCCACTCACAGTATTTGAAATATTTGCTGGCTACGTCTCTGGCCACAAAGATTATGACTCATTGCCATAGGACAGTTCTCTGAAGCTCTTGGTCAAGATCCTCCAAAGAATCCAACAACCGGTTAAAATGGCCATGGAG